AGTTAACCCTTGGACTCTGCGGTAATGCTCCCAAGTCTCTATGACCAACACTAATCCGAAAGTAACAGTGGTGGGTCACTTTAATGCTCAAGTAGGTAGACTAAGCGAAAAGGAAAAACAACTGGGTGGATTCCTATGGTGTCGTGGCTCAAAGAACAGATAATGGCGGCCGTCTGCTGCAACTATGCTCAGATAATCGCCTATTCCTAACAAATACCAACTATTAGCATAAGGAAAAACACCTTTTGACATGGTGATCCCCAAAGTCAACTCAACGCTGAACCCAATTACATGACATCACTATCAGCCACAGATGGAGAGGCTCGACAGAAGTTTGCCGCTCATTCTGCAGCATGTATTTAGATTCAGATCATACTCTAGTACGAGCGCGTATTTGTCTGAGGTTTACTGGATGTAAGAAAGACACAGTAAGGAAACCGTTTGTAGTTCTGTTCTACGATAACAAACCCGAGAGGATACACTAGAAAAAGTTAGTCAACCATATTTGAGATGCCTACCCCGAGGGAGCTTGGAATGATATCCATAAAGCTGTGGAAACAGCGATGACAGCGGCCAATAAGGTAAACCGAATTGTTAGGGAGAATCAGTGGATTTCAGTAGCATCCACTGAAATGGAAGATGCTCGAAAACTCAGGCAATCTGTCTCCGAACGTGATGAGGAGCAGAGTTAGTTTGAGATCAGGCTGATAAGAAGCCTACACAATGATCGCGAACAATGGTGTGTAGCGAAAGCAAAAGAAATGGAAAAGGCAGCAGCGATAGGTAACCGTAGACAACTATTGAGAATTATCAAGCAAAACAGTATCAGGAATGTTAGTGAGACTCTCTCGAAAAAAGATGGGCGTATTATTCATTCTCAGTCCAGGAGATTAGACCGTTGCGCAGAACAGTTTAGGCAACAGTTCAACAGGAATGTTAATCTGAATGGCATATTGATGTAGATCCTGTAAGTCTTAATCAGGTTGAACAGGCTATAGGCAACCTAAGGTGAGGGAGAGCAGCAGGCCCTAACAGGCTAACACATGAGATTTTCAGGGATTGTGATCCAGTATTAGCAGTGAAATCGACTGAGAACTGAGGTAGAATCTGGGAACTGGGTGTAGTCTCATCTGACTAGTCACAATCACTGATTGTCCCAGTCCTTAAGTAAGGAAAAAATCCCTCATGTGACAGTCATTGAGGAAACAGTTTAACTAATATAGTGTTTAAAATATTAGATTCAGTAATACTTCAACGCCTAAACAGAGCTTGCGAATAGCTGACTCGAGAAAACCAGTCAGTCAGTCACTTACAACGTAGAACTTCGTACGTGCGTACATCAGTTCAAGTTGCCAAACCGCATTAGCACAGAGACGCAACTGTCAGTTCAAATCCCATAATGGTGGAGATAGTAGATGTATTAACGGTATTGGAGAATATTAGGGAGCCAAGATATTATTCAAGAAGCATAATTCAGTGACATAAGGTTAGAAAGACAAAGGTAGAGGTGCTGACGAATCCAGAAGATTAGGATTTGAGAGAGCTCAACGAATGGATGCACTTGCGCCATTGCAAACGATTCTGAGACATGTAGTTCAAGGTCTCTAACCATTGGTGATTTTTGTCCCGCGGACACCAACCAGGTAGCCTACATCTACCAACATGACTTAGTCCACTTGTCAGTGACTTCATGAATTTCTGCCATGTTTTGGTTTGGCCGCCCCTAGCTTTCTCCCAACCTACTCCTAAACCACAAAACATAGCTCGTCGAGGCAGTCGATGATTAGGCATACGCAACACTTGTCTCAACCACCTCAACTGATGAAGTTTCAATACTTCATCAACTCACTTGTCATCGTTACCGAGTACTCGTTTCCTAACGACAACATTGCTTACTTGGTTGTCCCAGGATATACGAGCAATGCCTCGAAGACACCTATGATCGAATACTGATAATCTACGAATGTCATGTTTCACAGCCAGATAGTAGGTGTGAGCGAACTACTGCACGGTACACTCGTCCTTTTGTTAGCAAACGGATATCTCGCCTACACCATAAGTGACGCAAGTTGGTAAAAGCCAGTCGAGCTTTCTGTATCCGAGCTGCGATTTCGTCAGTCACCAGGCCATCAGCACTGATGAGACTCCCAAGATAAGTAAAGCGGTCTGCACGCTCAACTACTTCACTCCCTATTACTAGTTGAGGTACCGATGAAACATTTTGCATTTTGAGGGGGAAAAACGCATCCCGAATATGCTTGCATTGTAGCTTAGGGTAGTCGGAAGACTCTGCATTTTGTCAGCGTATTCACCGAATAGGACTATGTCATCAGCACACTCTAAGTCAGCAAGCATGTCTCCTGGTTGAAGGTCCACACCTGAAAAGTCAAACGAAGATAATGACAAATCTAAAAGCATGTCTACAACAAATTTAAGCAGGAATGGATAGAGTGGAAATATGTGATGGACACCACTTGAAGTAAAGAGTTCCGATGACAGTTCGCCGTAAGCTCTCACTCGACCATCGGTGTTCGAGTAGAGAGTTTGTATAAGATTAATGTACTTCTTTGGTACACCTTTTAATAACAAACACTGTCATAGAACCTCACGATCAACAGAGTCAAATGCCGCCTTAAGGTCGAGAAATAATATTATTTTGGGGTGTCTGAACGTGTGTCTGTGTTCTCGGACCTGACGAAGTGTGAAAATGTGGTCTATACAGCCACGTCAATGTCTGCAGATTTGGACATCAACACTGCTGGATGCCGACCTAGTGATCCGGAGGTTAGGCGTTCGCACGCAAGATCGAAGGTCCTGGGTTCGGAATTCTGTGAGTAGCAGGAGTTGTGGATGTGCACTGCTGTTGAGTCCCATACAAGGACGAAACAGTCATCCAATGCTTCCAGGTTTCTTATGGTGGTCTTATAATGAATGATTGATGATTTAAGTAAGAATTAATTAGCGCATGTATCAAAAGGCGAGACAATAAACAGGTTGATGATTATTTATATTCATTAAATAAAAATGTTTAGGGAGTTTAATGGCTTTCAAATAACTTGGGTATTAGGCTCTACAATTACTAGTCTGTACTTACTCTTACGATGAACAAATTAAGGCACATATGAATAAGAAGATAAAACAGTATTGCTTTATTGTTAAAACAAGTAAACTTTTGTGTTAGTTAAGGTCTACAAGTTTCGTTTTATAAATATTAAAATCTTATGAAAAATAAAATGAAAGAATTTGCAATAGTTAGCAAATTTTCAGCATTTCTTTCCGATTAAATTAATGTAATTTGGAAATTTAAGCAAAAAAAATAAATTTCAAGCTAGCAGTCATGTTTTGGATTCTTCACCTAATAAATTGTAAATACATAATTTAGACCATATGACAAAGATAACTCGAATATCCCAAATGTCCAACTCATACATGATCACTGTCATGGTGACAGTGAATTGACATATTTTGAGATGGTGGAGAAAACTTGTAGCTCGGGTGGATGATTGTGGTGGTGTTTCGATAACATGCAACAATTCTCACAACTTGCTTACTAATGATGTCATGATTGACAATGAGACAACTTCTACAGTGTTCCAAATGGAATTTGTAACTGATTTGGTTACAACCGAATAAGATAATATGACAATCGGAGATTAGGAGATGGCATCATAAGAATATTTTCTGAATCCGAACAATTAGATTAGTAGTGTATTGTGATTCAATGTTTTGAATGTATATTGTGCACATGTGGAAAAGTGAGATGTCGTTGTTCAGTGATCTGTTTGAATGCGCGCTTATCGTATTTACAATAGAGAGGTTATATGTGTGAGAGAACAGTTGATCGGTTGGAGAAGTGATGCTAATTTATCATAAAAATTATGCATCATAATGAGTTTCTCTCTCTCTCTCTTCGCACATACACATAGAGTTACAGTGACCTATCCGTCTTCAACAAGCTTATATTTTCGGTGAATCTGATAACCTGCGACAAGGTTGGGGATTTTTGAAATTTTTTGCTTAGCAAAATTTGTAGTCTAGTATTAATGTGTTTAACTAGGTGATAGGATGCGCATCTGTGAATTTATAGCGTATCTCCCTTTTAATAGAAGATGCGATTACGATATCTAATATTTTCCCATTCCTTTAGTTATTGAATACTGTGCATAAGAAAATTAATTTCACACAGGATTTTATTTCAGTTTCTAATTTCACTTCTTTTTACTTTTTTCATCTGTCAAGTTGATATGTACTAGAGTAGTCTACTCATATAATACACATTCGTAAAAAGCTTTAAATGAGCGGAAATGAGGTCTCCAGTGAATATTGTACTCTTACATATAGCATTGAAACACTAAATGAATGGAAAAGGTGCTTGACAAGTTTATTTAAGCACTTTTATTCAATATTCAAACAGGGTGACTAAACTGACCCTTAACAAGTGAAATTCATCAAGGACATATCATAATAATCAGCAAAATAAATGATCTGTTTGTAAAATCAATCATCAGATAGACCCTCAAAACTTAAAAGATAAAAGGTTAAAGCTCCAACAACAACATAGTTAAACGTATACGTGGATTTTCATTTCGAGAGAGTTAGCTATATGTAATACAAAATTACATCTAAGTGTACTTCCTTTCCTTAAAACATGCTTCCCAGCTACCTAATCTACATTTCTGTTGCTTCGTTTATGTTCTATTTTAAAATTTGTTCAGCTATTTAGTCTTTTCATCTTCAAATCAAATTTGATCTTTCATTATTCATAAAATATGAATGTAGTCGGTTAACATTCACTGGACGCGCACTGTTGCTGAATCCCATAATAGGACGAAACAACCATCCAGTGCTTCTAGGTTTCTAATAATCGTCTATCAATGATCAATTCATTATTTAAATGCAAAACAACAACCCGCATAACTTTATCATGAAAAAAAATTATATAACTATCAATGAACATTGAACAGTTAAAAGAAAACGAATTATCGATTTCTTGCACATACCTTGCATGCTTCACAAACATAAGCATTACAATGAAAACCGGCAGCTATATCACCACATATATCACATGGTTTTCTATCTTTCATATTTAATCCACCTAATATGCCTCTACTATTCGACAACGATGTCATCATATCCATGACACTTGATGATTTAGTTGTATTCATCATTGATAAATTGGTTAAACTGTCATCATTAACACCATGATGATTATGGCTGAATGTCATTGTTCGATTCGATTGATCATTCATATGGAATAATTTTAAATTATTCATTGATTTTTGTACGTTACGATGATTAAAATTCTTTAACATATATTTATTTTTCATATTATGTGATTGTGTAATCATTGGAGGAGGAAATATCAATGATGAAGTAATGGTTGTTGATGATGAAGGCGATGATGATGATGGTGACGAAGTGATCAATGATTGAGTAGTCGCTGTCGTCGTCGTAGTAGTAGTTGTAGTAGTTATTGGCAAGTTTTGATTCACACAAACATTTGTCATGGTATTATTATTATTATTATTGTACAATGTTAAATTATTGTCATCATGCTGAAATGTATTGTTAAATTTTTCTACCGGTAAATAAGTATCACTTAAATGATACAATGGCAACTGATTAGTGATTGTGGATAATTTTTCAATTGTGGATGTTACAGCTACTTCTGATAATGATGAAGATGATGAATGGTTGATAGTTCGATTGGACATGACATGGGTTAATTGATTTAAAGGACAATAATTACAGGTTATCTGCAAGTTAGAATGATGATGATGAGGAGGATATTCAAGCTGTTCCTGATGATGATGTTCATGACAATGTTGACATGGATGATGTTGATTGGACATATGGAAATTTGTTGAATCAGATTCTAAAAGATTTTGTTCCGATTGTAAGCGAACATTTTTGTTTGTTGTAAGAAACATTAATGAATTAGAACATGATGATGATTGTGACGGTGAATTTGTTTGGTTCCATGATAATAATGACATAGGACTATTGTGATAAAATGGTGAAGAATTCGAATGACACAATTCCTCTCGTTGTTGATGGTCATGATGACGATGATGATGATGATGATGATTATCGAAATGATGTGAATCATGATGATAAGTTTTAAAATGCTGTGGATGTGTTACTTGTCGGTGTAGGTGCTGGTGACGTTGATGAGGATGATGATGATGATGATTAGGGTGGTGGTGATGATGGTGTAAGATTACTGTCGGAGATGTCAAAGATGATGATACTGACCATGATGATAAAGAATTACACAAAGATGAATTATCGTTTTCAATACGACTGTACAGCATAGTATGATAAATATTGTTTTGAAGTGAGAAATGAAACTGAACTGAAGTAAAGTATAGAAGTATGTTAGTGTTTTATTTTTTCCACGTACACATTTATTAAATGAATAGTTTCCTGAAACTTTAAAAGAATGGAAAAATAATTATTTCTCAATAAGACATTTTTAGTTATGGCTAAAAATATCTGTACATAACGCGTCACACACTGCTCTAAATAGATTGATGTGATATAAAACAACCACTTAAATCCCATAATATCACACTGACAATGAGAACGGGATTGTTTATAGTGTACCACACACATTGGGGCTTACTGATCATAAAATGTTTCATGAATAGTTACAATGTTATGTGATGTATATGCATACAAGGCTTGTCATTTTATTTATAATGGCATCAGCTTTGTTCGATTTTGTTACCGACTAACTAAAGTACAATCAAAGATCACATGGTTTAGAATGTAGACTCTCGTCTTGATTCATTGCAAGACCAAGTTTAGCTAACCATGACCACTCTCTACCTTGTAAGTTAGAATTGTTTGCATGATTAATTGAGTTTCGGACACTGAAAAGATGTCTTGATATACTATCTATGATTCATGCCCTTTCATAATTGACTCAGCCTTTAAGGCAGTCAACTAATTGAAAATTAAAGAAACTTTTTACAAATTTGGAATCAGTTAACTAATGAACTGGTTTATCGTCATCCATTATCCATTCAAGTACGCCTTAGTCACTTTGATGTTTTATCAAGTCAGTTGTGTAATCACAAAAACGTAATTTTTTGTTTTTGTCCAAATTGGTTCATGTCAATGTGATTTCATGTCTAACGTGATTTTTACATAACATTTTCGAAGATAGTTATTATTATTATTATTATTATTATTATTATTATTATTATTATTATCAGAAACTGATGGAATTCAGTAATCCTTAGAAAACTAATTAATCTCTCAATACGTACCACTACTCGGAACACTTAGGTCTAACATAATAAGTTGTGATCTACTCATCTACGTTTTACATTTGACAGAATTGACAATTCATATCATAAATATCATGGGTGTTGAATTATTGATTTACTTTCTCGACTTAGATTATTATTCTGTAAGTGGAATTTCGATCTCTTGATGAAATGAATCATGAGTGGAAACTAAATTATTTTTGGTTAATATAATGTACTGTCAGTTAGAGCTTTGGAGATTTGTGTTTTTACACAGCTGAAATCATCAATCAATCAATGTTAGACCACCATTAGAAACCTGGAAGCACTGGACGGCCGTTTCGTCCTGGTATGGGACTCATCAGCAGTGTGCATCTACGACTATTGCACCTCTCAGGATTCGTACCTGGGACCTTCGGTATTGTGTGCGAACGCCTAATTATAGGACCAGGTTTCTAATGGTGGTCTAACAATGACTGATTGATGATTTCAAATGTCTAATATAATGTATCCTGTAGATTGAAATGCTTCTCCTTTTTGATATCATTAGTTGAAGTTAGCTGTTAACTATCTGGAATCTCTGCAGGTATTTTAGTGACATAATTTAATTTATTTCACAATAAATCCTTCCTTTCATACTTTCATTAGGTGACTTTGAATGCATTTTTCTAGACAAATACAAACAGCGCCTAATTATATACTTTTTTGCATTAAAGATTCAACAATATGCAAAACTGTAAAAAACTTTATCCCCTAACTACCGATGAATACTTAGACATTATTAATTTTATAATAACTCTAATTGCAAACTGAAGCTAGTTGGATAACTATCTCTGTAGTCCACAATGCATCTGACCTCCATGTTTGCACAACAGTAGTTTGTACAGAAATCCATGAAGAAGCTTATTTTCATAATCGCACAACATTATGAATTCACAGAGTATTGTGAAGGCTAGGCGGCCGTGACGAGATCTGAAGAAGTTATGGATATGTTTTGATATACATATATATACATATTTTTTCAAGGATAGACCACTGTTTTAACATTGAATAACTTGTTACTAGCGTAGATGATCGCATTATAATGGAAGCAAGGAGTGTCTAAGTAAATTTCGATTTGAAATGAAACTCAAAATATCAATAAAAAAAAGTGTATTACAGTAAATTATTCAATCTGAAAGCGAATAGTTTTTACAACAATTAAAAAGACACTGTTTTTCTCATCATAAACTAAATTGATAGATGATTTACATTTCTGGATAATAATTATTCGTGTTCCGTTTTTATCTGAGACTGTTCAGTTGAATATACTGTGTGATACACATGCTGAAACTTAAATCCAATATTCATATTGGTTCTAATGTTGGGAGTTTGTTGAAAATTATAAGTAACAAAATCAATCAATTTTTAATTATCTTTCCAAAGAAAGACACCAGTCATAAATATCATCAACTATCAGGGAAATTGTGAATAGATCAGTGAATATGTTTCACTACTTTATTAGGAAAGTTTTTTAGACCATGTCCCACGTGTTAACCAGACGGTGTGAGACCTGCAAGTCCTAAGTTCGACCCCCTAAATATTTGTGGATCTTGACTTATGAGCAGTCTCATAATTGAACGATACAGATCTTCGATGCTACCTGGTTTTGGTTCTGATATCCACATCGTGATGTGAACTTTCAGAATATACTCTCTTAGTATTTTATACCCAAAGACAGTCAAGACAGTTCATTCTATATTTTTAAGTTTTCGGTTGAGAAATGAAAGCCTTGTTTCCATAAACAAAAAATGTCGGTTTAAACACTTTAGTTGAATATTCAAGGCTTTATATCAAATCACCAATTGAACAGTGATAGTAACAGAACACTATCAGTTGGATGAATTTCTCAATCATAGTCGAACAACTGAGAATTTTACCCAACTTTCCACAGTTTCACTACTGATTAAAAATATGGAACTACTGTGTGGCTGTTTTAAAATTATTCATTCTAAACAATAAGATAAAATTCCTAGTATTGACTTATTGAATACATGTCAAATGAAAATATGTCTTTAATATTTGTTCATTGGTAAATAACTTCTGGCTGAAACGATGGGTTTCATTTCAAAGATTTCAACTTTATATGTTGTTTGGAGGTAGTGGTTTGGAAACGCCATTTGACCTAGCCTTCAGTGCTGATTAACGCTCATTAGCAAGATGCAATCTTACGGAAACTAATTCCATCAGTTGCATGCCAACCTAGTCCACTCAATTTTATCTTCTCACATGTTGCCTTTGCGTTAATTAGAGATGAGAATAGAATTATTCAAGTCTAAAATATATTTACAAATGATCGATCCTTCAGGATTTCAATTACGCCTCGGTGACGGCGGATACCGGTTACTAGAAAATTTTAAATCCAGGGTTTCCTAACAAATTTTATTTAAATTAATCCAAAAAAATATTTCTCCTTAAAATGCAATAATTGCTAATCATGAAAATGTGAACTAGCTAGCTGAATTTTGTAAAATATTGACTGTTATGAAGAGAACCATATCTCGTTATTTAGTCAGATGTACACACAAAATTATTCGCAATTAGAGTCAGTCTAAGCATAATTGTAAAAATGCAATACATCTCGCGCGACATTTGAAAATTTACATCAAATTCAACTATACACTAAGGTATACAACATCTACAGCATTGAAAACAAAAATAGAATAAAACTTACTGATAGAAATTTATATTAAAATTGATCAGAATAATTGTGTTAATTTAAATTCAAATCAATAATAATTATCCCTTGTAAATAATGGCTGCTTTGTTTCACAGCGTTGTTGTTGTGTACTCGAAAATCTATTCCGCAGAGAGAGAGAGAGAGAGAGAGAAAGAAAGCAAAAATGTTCACTGTACAATATTCTTGTCCATTTGCAAATAAGAATGATTCATTCTTAGTAATTAATATATTTCTGAGACGAATGTAACTATTTTAATTTCTAAAGTTTTTGAATGAAAAACCAAATCAATTTTACACAAAGACGTTTATTTTTTTCCAACTTGTAAGACATACGTAACAAATAAGTGAGTATTATTATTATAGCTGACTAACAAACAATATCATGTATATGTGTATTCATTTTTGATTTGTACTCATTGTGTTGTTGTTATATGTTCAACATGGCATGAGTCAGTTATGTTTTTGTTTTAATAAATGTTGTTAACATTAATATTACTGCTATTATTATTACTAATACTAATACTATTATTACCAATAAGAATATGATTATCATTGATATCATTGGAAGTAAATTCGAACATTATTTTAAGTGTTAAAAATTTCTCTAGTCTGATTTTGTTTTGTTTCACTCGGTTGATTTAAACAAGTCAGAATCTATGCCATTGATTGGTTGATAAATGTTGATGCGACAATGTTACTGTTTAAAAACCCCTGTATGTATTTTCATTCAATGATACTTTTATTCGCTATCTTTTTTCATTCGTCCATTGATTCATTTAAAATTGACCGATTCTTACTCTCTCTCTACCTAAATTCACTTCATCTTATTGTCTATATTTCTATGTTATTTATAACAATTGATAAATTGTTGCATTGAAACAAAGTACTTCTCTACCATGTGATTTCATGAATGAGGATGAACGTGGATGAGTGGGTGATAAACTAGTATGATTAAAAA